TTCATCAGCACGTTACATAACATGTTATTATAATGTCACAGGTTAAATGCATTGCAGATGCATATTGCATGAGTCATTTTATATCACGGGATTATTATATTTCATGATATTACACTATTTTTGCAACAAAAATGCTATTACACTTTAACATGAAAGGTGCTTCACCTGTTTTTAATTGTATCTTGATAATTATTCTTTAATGAATGTGCAAAAACTAAGTCTCTAGCTGAAACAGTGTCATGTTATTTTACAGCATGCACATATTATTTTACGGCAAGACACTGCAGTTGAATAGGGTAAAAAAAAACAAAAAACGAATAGATATCAGATATCGGATACTTCCCCAGCTGAATGATTGCATTACAAATCAGAAGCATTTTTTGTATTACGAGTTTTCCCGAAATGTTATAGTTAAATATGCAAGCAATGCATTATCTATTTAAACATGCACTATTTTGCATTTATTTCCAGAAGGTAAATCTGAACATTGGATAAAAATTCCAGTTTGATTTTGTTGACAAATTAAAGGGATTTTTCTTTTTATCACTCCATACATAAAAAAAATACTGTCAACAGCCGGAAAACACATTTTCAACATGTTTTTATGAATATGTTGTTTAAAAATCAGGTGAATAATATATGAACAAACCCTTCAGAATATAGAGAGGAATAAAACTGCAAAGTTTGGTGCATGTAAGTGCTGCTGAAGTGGAGAAAGAAACTCATTTTGAGAAAACAGACTTTAAAGATATGAATTGTGATTGAAATCTACAGACGCAAATAGATCAAATGTAATCAAATAAATGTGTATTTTAGATGTCTGAAACAACACATTATGGAAAGCCAAATGGCTCAAAATCTCAAAACTGACCAGTGCATGAAAATCAGTGTTTCTGCCTGTAGAGTCTGGCTTTAAATCATGCTAATGCTCTTTAATCGCTGCGTTGTGTTTCATGTCTCCAGCCTCCTGGTCGTGAGAAGCGCCGCTATGTGAATTCTCTTCCTCCTCAAAGACACTGTGATTTTGGTCTCGGGACGGCCTGATCGCCGAACGCCCCCCTCTTCTCCCTCCCTAGTCGCCATATAAACCCTAGCGTGCCAAAACTCATTCAGGGAAACTCTTTCCACATCACAGTCCAGCTGAAACCCCAGCGGCGGTCGAGAGCTTCTACTTCAGCGCACCATTGTCCAATCAGGATCTAGCAGAAGTTGATTTCATTGGCTGTTTGTTGACGTCTCTGATTGGCCGGACTCAGGGTCAGCTGACTGTGTGGATGATTATCTGACGACCGGGGTCGATTGTTCTCTGTTAAATGGGACTGTGTCTCTCAGTGCCTTAATTTTCAGATCCCAAGAGCCGAAGCGACGGCTGCGTTTGGGATGTTCTTCAGAGGAAGGGCTCGAAGGACTCGGAGAAAGACGCCTGGATGTGACGGGACGTGAGCCCTGATTTGGGTCGGCCCTGAGCCATACTGAGCCATTATTTCTCTCTCTCTCTCTCGCTTCCCGGATGGTGAAATGTCCCGTGCATCTTGAGTCTCGGATCAAGATTCACTGTAGCCTGTCACATGACGTCTGCACCGTCTCAAGATCATTTTTGCAAGTGCATCACGTTTTGTTTGTTTTGAGACAAATCTGGGCCTTAATTCAACACACCGCTGACTTCTGTCTCTGTATGTAGAATGAATATCATCAAAACATGTCAAAATCAGAAGGAAAAAATATGAAATTATATTTTGCATGAAGAAAATTAAGATTAATATAATGCAATTATTTTATTAAAATCTGAATCATTTTAATGGCAGTACAACAAATACTACCATGAGGAATTAATACATTGCAATTTAAACAATAAATAATATACAATTTAAATTATATTCATTGTACTGCTCTTAATTTTATATTATATTATTTATATATTTATATATATATATATATTATAATATGTATATTTAAATTTAAATAAATTAATATAAATTGAATGGATGCACAACAAATTCTATCATGGTGAATAAATACATTACAATTTAAATAATAAATAAGAATTTAGATTTTTCACAATTTTTACTTCTTCAGTATAATTATGCACTGATTTATATTAATTGTACTGCTCTTAAATAAAATCATTATTATCAAAATAATGATTTTAAAAATCATTGTATTCCACTTATAAAAATCATGACTGAGAATAATAAAAGGGGGAAAAAATCCCATTTAATTCAGCATAAATTTAATGGCACTACAAATACTACTGTGATGAATAAATACTTTAGAATTTAAATAATAAATAATCATTTAAATTCCTTTTTTAGGATTTAGATTTTTCACTTTACAACACATATTTTCATGACAGTTATACACATTTTCCCCAAGTATTTATAGTACAAGTATTTATACACCATGATTCATGATATTTTTTGTACTGCTTTTAATTTATACTGATTTTTAAAAAATCATTGTATTCCAGTTCTAAAAGTCATCACTGGGAATAATAAATAATAATAAAAAGAAGACTCAAAAGTTAAGTTTTAAATCAGAATAATTTTAATGGCAGTACAACAATTTAAATAATGTCATTGTCAATACATCACTATTTATTGATATATAATTCGATTTATTGAAAATAAAATAATGTTAATGTCTTAAGGGTCCTATAATAAAATATAATTTTAATTTCTTTAGATTTTGTGATGAAAAATGACATTTATTGACAGGTTTTGTTAAGACTCACCCTTAATGTTTAAAAACATTGTACATGCGTCAAGAGACAAACATATGATATCATATGATCATCCATCAGGCCAAATGAACATATTTCACCTTAAATCAAGGAAATAAAATTTTAGGATTAATAAGATTTGTCACATACTTTCACGACAATTACACACAGTATTTATATATCATTGTAGTATCTGTTGTACTGCTCTTAATTTGTGCTGATTTAAATTTTAAAAATCCAGTAATAAACACTGAAAATAATATAAAACAACAAAGGAAAACTCAAAAGCAAAATGTTCAGATGCATTACAGCAGTGATGCAAAATGTGCCCGATTGTTGTGAAAATAATGTCACGAACCTTAATACTCCTAAAAATACTATCATCTTCATGTAAAACAATTTCTTCTGCTATTTGTGATGAAATGTGATTCAGGCGAATAATTCTCTCGGTGTTTGTTTTATATTCATCAGGTTTATTTCTCTTATGATCTTTGGAATTTTATCACCAGTTTCTCAATCTGTTTAATGTAAATCATAGAGTCAGAACGGCACGTGAGTGAGTGAGTGAGAGAGAGTGAACGAGTGAATGTGAGAGAGTGAACGAGTGAATGTGAGAGAGAGTGCGTGCGTGAGTGAATGTGAGAGTGAGTGAGTGAGTGAGTGAGTGTGTGTGTGATTGATTGATATCATAAACACTCTGGGTCACATTTCAGCTGCTTTTCCCAAGATCCACGTCATAATATTTTGGAGAAAGGTGGCCGTTCTGTAAGGTTTAATGCTTCAGACGGATGCGCTGCTTACTAGTTTTGTAAAGTTACTAATCGTAGATTTGACAAGGGATTTTATTTTTATGGTTAGAGATTTACACTCATTCTTAGTCTTAAGTAAAGCCTTAAGCGGTTGTGTTTATCTGAAGGGTTAGTTTTGGTCAGCTGGTGTTGAATTTGACCTGTGGACTAGTCATGACCCGCTGAAGCTGAATTGGACTTCACAGTATTACCATAGTCGACCCGGCATATCAAAGTGCCATAATAGTTTTAAAATGCTGCTAATCATGTATGTTGATGGAAATGAGAACCGGTTTCAGTGTGAGGCCACGTCAGGTTCATTTCTGCAGGTTTTCTGATCACATATGAGAAGAGGAAACACCACTATTTTTAAAAAGCCTTACCAGATATTAGATCATTTGCTAAACTTCTTTTACGAGATATAATTTGGGTAATTAATAAATCCACGCTGATATTCTTTGACATTTTGCTGCTTTGTGCAAACGTCTGTTTCCAGCAGATCTGAGCCTGATGCATCCGACCGGATCCGTGACTGTCAAGCAAAGCTTTTGATACACACTGTTTGTTTGTTTAATTTGCTACCAAACTCCATCAGGTAACGATCTGTCTGATCTAGCTTCTCATCCTTGCAGCAGTCGAGAGGAACATAACTAGTTGCGCAACTTCCTGAAGAGATGCAAAGGAAGCAAACAGAAGCTTGTATGTGTCGGATCTCATTGTGAAAGGTTAACAGTGGCTACCCGGATGATCATAAGGGTTTTTTAATGATTTTGAGATATTGTGACATTCCATATGTGTAAAAAACTATGTACAGAGATAATGAGATTAAAAAAAAGCTAAATCTTTTGAAGCACAGATCTTTACATACTTGTCTGGATGTCCCTCTGTGTGTGTTTGTGTGTGTGTGTTTGTGTGTAACTCGGTGTGTATGTGTTTTTGTGTATGTGTGTGTGTGAGAGAGAGAGAGAGAGATTTATTTGCAATGTTTTTAATCATCTACTTGACTACAATGACTGAATGCATGCAAGAAATTTCTCAGATTGATAAAAGCACCATTATAAGTGTTCAAGTATCGCTCTTTTCAGAGCAAATACATGAATCTATAAAATGTATTAAAAATCCTGGTAACACTTGAAGCCTATGTATAATGCATTATAAGACAGTCATAATGTGTATTGGAATGCATTAGATCTTTTCATGAATAATTGTAACCAAAGTTAAATATGCATTATAATATTTGCCGATTCCTTGTCATGTTCCTGGGTTGTTTGTTGTGTGTTTTAATGCATTTTACTTTCTAAAGGTGTAACAATGAACAAAGTATTGTACAATTATTCATGAGATCATGCAATGCATTAGAAGGTACATTACATTATATTTTAAAATGCATTCTATAAAAAGTAGGGATGCACCGATACCACTTTTTCCAGAACGAGTCTGATACCGATATTTTCATTTTTGGTACTTGCCGAAACCATACCTGTATTTTCATTGCATTTATAATATTTAAATACACTGGGTAGAGAAACCAAATTATATTTTCTAAAATATAAGTTGTTTTTTATTATCTGAAATGTGCTGCGACTTGTATATTCCAAAGCGACGTCAAGCAAGCCGAACATTTGTGTTGGTGCAGAATGAGAGACAAATAAAGCCCAGCGCATTCACACAGGCTGCGAGTTTCACTTACGCTTTAAATGAAGTTGTATACGTTTGACGTGTAAAATGTTGTTTATAGTGAATGCCCCTATAATTTGTTTGTTTTTAGTCCAAACGATGCATGTGCTAATGGAACGAACAGAAATCAAGATCATGCAACAGTGCGCGCGCTCTTCCTCGCTCGCTTTCTCTCTCCTTGCCGTCCATCAAGTAGCTTTTAGTAACTTGTGCATTCATTTACTTACTTGCTTTTGACATTCCCGGCCGATCTATAAACTTTCCAGTGCTGTCTGTGAGAAAGAGATGTTCACTTGACAAGCTTGCGCATCTGTGCCGCCGCGCACTCAATCCACTATGCTTATTAGCTCGCGCACATCAGCTATACAGGCATGAATGTTTAACATTATATTGATTCCATACATGCATAGATATCCTTAATCTCTAATAACTCCATTCTGTTCTGTTGTCGGTGGTTCTTTGTCTGGATACAGCACTCTTCACACGCCGTGTGCTTTTGGTATTGGAGCATTTTAATGAATACAGGAGTGCAGTATCGGCCCGATATCGGTATTGTATCGGTGCATCCCTATTAAAAAGCCTAAAGTATTCCCAAAGAGTTTCATCTAAGTATGATTGTATAAAACCTGCGTCAGAGTGACCGTAATACACCTGAAAGCCTTGAATGGGTTTTGCCTTCACAGCCAGTGGTGCTTCTGATACTGAAGAAAACCAGTGTCTGGAATGACACCAACTTCCTTTTCTCACAGACTTTTTTTTTTTTTCTCAAATCACGTGTTTTAATGTTTCTTCTCAGTGGAAGCGAAGCCGCTTGTCACCCTCATAGAGTTGTTCTTCTTCTTCAGAAACCCGGCTTCCTTTAATGCTGTGAACGAACCAGAAAATGTGGAAATGTGTGAAACTGGAAGACCTGATCTGCTCACGTAAGGTTAGTTAAGAGGGAAAACTAGGGCTGTGTTCCAAAACCTAGTGAGCTGCCTTGTAAGACACCTTGTTAGTGAGTGATTTGGAACAACTGCATAAGCAGTGATACTCAACTCGATAGATTTCAATTGAGTTAATGTGATGAAATACATTGCACACACCAGTACTGCGTAAAATAGTTAATTTGTGTTGTATTTTACTGAGCCATTCTATCACTACTCTTGTTGACATTTCCACCATCTTTGGTGGAGCTTGTCGCAATGCATTATGAGATTGACTTCATTGCAGAGAGTTATGCAATGCTTTAAAATCTGGCGAAACTGAGGTGTCTTTGAGGGCAGAATAATTTTTAATTACAGCTTTTATGCCATTAAAATGATTGTAGTTCAAAAATCTAGTTTTTGGATCAAATCGCAGATCTTACTTGACTTCCTTCAGTGTAGTGTTGTTAGTCAGGCCTTCAGACATCTCTTTGGCTCCATGAATGGTGAACTCGTTTTCTATTAGCCTATAGAGAGTTGAATGGATTATTCAATCCGTCAGTGCAAAGATATTGTGCATACAGAGCTGAAGTGCATTATTTGGCATATTGTTGATCAAAATATAAATGACATCCTGATCTAATAGTTAATAAATTACCAAGCATTATTAATCTTAATGTATGTTTAGTTGTCTTACAGCACACAGGTGAAGATCTCAGGTATGTTTAACCAATGATTTAAATTGTTTCACACATTTTGTATTTGCAGCAGACATGCATTGAGCTTTCTGAGTGATTTTTGAGTCACCACATAGAATATTGTCCACATATAATAATGTCCATAGGCTACAGTGCATTTTCATTCAATTTTTCTCAAGCAAAGCATGCAAGATGCAGCAAAAAATAGTATTTGCATCATTACATTTGCACTATTTGTTTATGCACAAAGTGAATACTGTAAACTTTTAAATCAGACACCAAAATGAGCATGCGCCATGTGTAAAGCAGATATTACTGTGCATTACTGAAATAATGAGGTATAATCGATCATACATCAGATGCGTCAGAGCAGAGTTGGATCTGAAGGCATCAGCAAAGTCCGACGCTGCATCATCAGAGATTTTGTTCTGTATCAACCTGAAAAATAAGCATATTAAATAAGAATTCATCTGTGAACAATCATTAAATCTTTTTATTTTCACATGCATGAGAAAATATGACATTCAGTCGTACCAGAAGATGTGAAGGCTTTTGTTTTCCTTCAGTGCTTTTGCCAGACTTCTTCCACCGTGAGACGTAATGCCATTGGCAGAGAGACTAAACCGCAATGAAATAATCAATCTCAGATTGCTCGTTCTTTATCTGACAGATGAATTTCTCAGAATGGAGACAGGAGAGTCATTTGATGATGCAAGACTTACCTGAGGTTGGTCAGGTTTGGGTGATTCTTCAGAGCCTCTGCAAATGCATCTGCACCCTCGTCACCGATGGTGTTTCCCCACATTCTGCAAGCAATTAATTTAATTTCACCAAACGTTTACCATAGTTTTGGATCATTTCTGTAAAATTCAGTTTAAAACCCTCAAAACACAGGAATTCCAAAGAAAAATATGCATAAAAAAAGAGCAGGGTGTTTTATGAAATTATGGCGACATAATTTTAAAGCCCGGGTTTAAATTTTCCTGTACATATTCTTACCCTACATCAAAGATAGATTTGCTCTTGTGAATTGCACTGGCAAGGTATTTCCCACCCACACCTGTGATGTTGTTGCAGCCGAGCCTATGGGAAGCACAAGCAAGTGTAAATTAATTATGCATTCTATATATTCTGTAAAAATGTGTACGTTTACAGGTCGTTTTTAAGGTGTGCATCATCTGGAAAGCATTGCAAACTATTTTTAATCCCATCAATAAAACCATGCACGCACCAGAGGAATGTTTTATAAGGTGCAGTCAAATCAAAACACAAATGCTCCAAAACAATGCAATGACAGACCACGAGGATAAAAAGTCCAAATGTTGACCACATGGTCTGTCAGTAAAGTTTTTCAGAGCGATGGATTTTTAATGCCGTATGTGTAAAAACATCTTTAAAATAGCAGATGTGCATGCATACAAAATCATAAATATCCCCAAATCATGCAGCATGTCCTCATATCACAGGGAATGTTATTAGTTAAATATTCTTCCATTATCCAACAACGGGATACCTACTTGACAACCCTCAAGTGTGGACATTCTTCAATGATCTTTGCTACTAGCTTGGCTCCAACATCTGTGATGTAGTTTTTGTAAAGACTGAAAATGCAATGAAAAGAGAGTAGATTGAAGTCTATATAAAACCCAGCAACATAACAAAGATGAACGTATGAACTCACCCCAAGACCTTAATGACTTTGTGTCTGATGAGTTCCTCTGCCAGAACCTCGATACTGCTGTCAGTGAGCTGATTCACGCAAAATCTGAAAAGGTAGGAACTTCAGTTATTGTTCAGTCTGCTGGTAATTCCATTCTAGTTCTAGTTCTTTGGGTAAAGCCAAACCCTGCCTGGCTTTTCTTACCTTACTACTGTCATTTTGCTGAAGGAGGGTCTCAGTTGTTTCACGCCGTAATCGTTGATGTTGTTATTGTCCATGTCGACCCCCAGGTGCTTCCTACGGTGGTGGAGGACAAAGTTCAACGCGCTGCAGTCGGCCGAGTAAATGTTACAGAAGGCGATCTTAATGTAATCCGCCGATATGCCGTTGGCCGTCATCTTTGCAACGTCCTCGCTGTTTGTCTCAAATATGCACCGCAGCATCCACAAGAAATTTGGCATTGCATGCACCTTGTCGCCCTCAATGTCTGTGGATGGATATCGAGGAAGGCCTTTAAGATGCGTTCTCACGCTGTTAGACAGATAAGACTTGAGCATCTTGCGCTTCTGTTTCAATGACGCCGGAGGAACGAGATGCTCCAGGAGTGCCGCATTGGGTTTGGACAAGAGGCCGCATAAGAATAAATTGGTGAACTGGAAGTTGGTTTGGAAAGGGTCTTTATCTCTAGGTCTCGACTTTCCCAAGCAAGGCAAGCAGGAGAGATGCGACGACCTCTTGTATTCGCATTTGGAGAAGAAACTTAGAATAGATTCAGGAGTTATTTTGGAGTCCAGCACCAATGAAAACGCCGCCAAGAAGGCCTGGAGGGTCTCGTGGAGAAACTCGAAGGTCGCAGAGCCTCCGGATCCATCGTAATGAGAAGCAGGCCTCAGAAACCCAAACTGAAGGACTTCATCTTCTAATCCACAGGATGTCACTTCCTCCATACTGAACACAAGTCCTCCCCGTTCGAGACCATGCAAGGCCAGTCGAGCGAAAGCCGCAAGCTTCTGCTCACCAGCTTTAAAGGTCTCCGCTGGACACCTCGTACTCCGTTTTAAAAGACCAGGACGTGCAGTCGAGTGTCCAAGAAAGACCTCGGAAAGAAGCAAGAAGACATTTGTGAGCGTAATGCAAGAATCCGGCAACTCAAAGTTGTCATATACCGAATGAAGATGCTTGAAGCTCTTGAGGATGATCCAACTGAACAACGGGATGGAGCAAAGACCGCAGAGGTGAGGATTGGCGTCTAGTTGATCGGTCACCATTGTCTTGTGTTCCTTCTCTGGGAAATGCAAAGCCGTGTATCTCTTCAGGTGTTCAGGTGAAAATCCCTTCAAATAGACCTTCTTCCAGATCACTCTGCTTTGGACTTCGGTGCCACTTCGTGCAGTCAGAATCTTCCGGGAACCTTTGAGCAATTTTCCACAAAGCAAGTTCATGAGAAGCAAAAGTGGACGGGTCTTTTCCTCCGGGGAAACCGTTTCTGGCACGTTATCCAAATCAAAATCCGTTTGGATTTCATCGTATCCGTCAAAGGTGAAAAGCACCGTCTCTGGGAATCGCAAGATGTAGGTGAAGACCTCGTTGTCGAGGTCGCCGTCTGGATAGCAGTTGTGTTTAAAGATCAGATCCTTCAGCGAGATCTCGTCGGTCTCCTTGAAGGCGCTAAACATCCTGCATCTGAACTTGAAGAAGAACTTGGCGCGAGTCTTTAGCTCTCTTCTGGACCACAGATTCTGCAGCTTCTGAAGAACGATGGATTTGCCCACGCCAGCGTCGCCAGTGATGAAGATGGTCTCGGCCTGCGGGTTGAAGACACCCTGGTCTCCCAGAAGCTCTTCCAGACTCTGCAAGTATCCCAAACTCTCACCTCTGTCGTTCAGGAGCTCCATCTGAGTGTCCGTGTACAGATCCTCCAGCGGCGTCTCCTCGCTCTTCGAGTACGACGTGATGAACTGAGTGTCTCTTCCCAGCTCATATCTGAGCTTCTCACAGTACTTGCTAACTGCAAAGATGCAAAAACATTAGGTGGAACAATGTCATAAATATTCAAGTGTATAAATATAGTGTCCTACAGTATGACATGCCAAAAATCTGACTAAAATCTTTTGTAAAAATTATGAATATTGAGCTGGACTATTCTTTTCATGGTTTTTGTATTTGTAAAATTGTATGTCATTTTAAATGAAAATACTCACTGGGATCTGTGTTGACCACTGGTATGACACTAATAGTGTCTAATGGTATGTACCGAATTTCTTCAAACCAAGGCCGCAGATCAATGTAAGCATCGTATGCTTCATGAAGAACGTGTACGAAATACGCTGAGCACTCCTCTCCTTTACTCTGAACCAGCTCCAGGATTTTGCGTACCTGCGTGTCCAAAAATGAGGTGAGTTGATTAATTGTGAAATATATATTGTGGATTATGTGTGTATATATATAATAAACATTTAATATTTAACATTTCACATTTAACAGAGTGTCTGCTTGTTTTATGAAGGTAAATTTGAGACATTTTAAGACCAAGGAAAGACACACAGAGTTAGCGGCGCTTAAAAGATTGAATATACAACTTTCAACTAATCTCTATTACTTTTGAATTCATTTTACAAAAGATAAAAAAAATACATAAATCTGCCCCTAGAATACGGAAATAACTTTTACTGTAGCTTCTGATCACACTGCAAAAAATGTTGTCTTGTTTTCCAAAGCAAATGTCTGATTTTTTTTAACCAAGATGCATTTACTCGAGAAACATAAAAAACTACAAATATCTGCCAAACGGCCTTCGAGAAATCAACTTAATTAAAAGGGAAAAACCGTGGTTTTCTGACCTCACTGGAAGATACTTGTTCTCGTTATAAGCATAAACTCACTTCACTTTGATCAGTTTCTCAGAAAGCAAAAGTAAATGCATCTTTGATTTAAGGATGATTGGATACTTGTATTGGAAAACAAGATAGAAAATACAGTGGAATATATTCATTTTTAGCAATGCATGCAACATTCAGTGCCATGACTATGAATTTAAGACTTTCTGTTCTGATTTAGGATCTTTTTATGGCCTTAATTTGTGGAAGGAACACTGAGTTATGTTTTTCAGTTACTGTTACAGATGTTACTTCTGTTGCATGGATCAGTGATAATGTTAGTAATCAGTAATAGTTTTCAGACTGGCATATTAATGTACCTTCAAGCATGTCTGAGGTTAGTGCTGTACCTGCTCAGTTTTGGTGCTGCTGCGCTGTATGATCTCGATGTCTTCAGTGCAGATGAAGCCGTTCATCTGGAGGTTGTCCAGCACACACTGCGTGTTCTTCACCTGCTCCACCAGCAGCTCTCGGTGTGAAGTCAGCAGCTTCAGGTGAGGGTCCTCACTCCTGTAAGAGCCCATTCCACAGCAGGACACTGAACCTGGTCAGCTCGAGTAATGATGCATCCAGCCCAGGCTCTTCACAGACGTGCGTCTGAGGCGAGAAATCGGCGTCGATCAAGCGACACTGAGTTTTGCAATTACGATATATTATATTTTAGCAAAGTTTAGCCATTTCAACATGCTCGCGCAAAAGAAAACCGAAAACGAACGCGTCGGAATCTGCGAAGGTTACACTGACTGAGCGAATGTAGCTGGTTCCGCACCTTCCATGTTAACTAGGAAGTGAAACTAAAACATGAAATCTGACCCGGATTAGTGGAAACACCCTGGATATGATCATTTCTGCCGTGCAAAGCTTGTTTGAGTGTGTTGTGTGGCGAGGACTAGGCCTTTCACGATAACAACTTTTTGTCGTGCGATATATTGCACCAGAAATAATTGCGATAAGCCACATTATTGTCATTTTAAACACCATTTATGCCACTGAACATACAATCATAATGTAACAGCATAATAATGCACACTTCCAAATGACAACAAACTTGACATGTTTAAGAATGTTTAGATCATGGAAATGAAGTTTCAAAATATTAGATAACTTGAATAAATAGTAAATAAACATTTTCTAACAAAAGGTGCAAAGTAACAAGTAGAAAAAAAGAAAAATGCACAAAGAACCTGTATGGAGATTTTTCCCTGACCTTCTTTTCTCTGTAAATTAAAGGTGCACACTATTGCTGAGAAACACAATCACTACTCAGCACTCAGATGCCCGAAACAAGATCATATCTGCAGATGAAACGTTGTTTGTAGAAGCATTTTTTTCAATTTGAACTAGCACTAACTACACCACGTTAAGTAACAGAAGCTGCAAAAGACACAGGAGCAAGTGGAATGCACAAAACATGGTGGCATTAATTTTTAAGTACATATAATGGGTGATATATTGCGTCACCAAAAATTATTGAGGTCGTGTACATATATTGCACATAAGTCGATATATTGATTATTGCGACAGGCTTGGCGAGGACAGAGAAATGAAACGATAAAACAATTCAACGAGCCTTCAGTAAGTCAGTCAGTCATGAGCTTTAATGTTAGTTATGCATTTTATGAGGAGCTTATTGGGAATTAAACACAAAACTGGTTACATTTTTACTAAACTTTACTAAATGTCGTTTTTATAACCTTACAAAAATGTACCACGGTATCGTTTCCAATAAGACGCCACATTGTACGTCCAACTAACAGAATCTTGTCCTAATGTTCTTTTAAAACAATTCCCCTGATAGCACACGTACATCACAGACATCTGCAAGAGGTATTTTTTTAGAGTGTTTGCTCATCTGCAATACATCTATAGGACGTTTCCTATCAGATGCCAAATAGACGTTTAGAAGATGTCTTTAAGATGTTTGTGATCTAGAATGCATGTAAAACTGACATCTTAAGAGACTATCAGATGTTTGATGCTTTCCAGATGAAGTGATCGTTAACAGACGTCTTGCAGACGTACGTGTGCTATCTGGGATATGAATTTTAAAAACGTTTGTGAAAGTCGAGTTGTTCCCTTGAAAGATTGTGACCCACACGTACGTCTGCAAGACGTCTGTTAACGATCACTTCATCTGGAAAGCATCAAACATCTGATAGTCTCTTAAGATGTCAGTTTTAGATGCATTCTAAATCACAAACATCTTAAAGACATCTTCTAAACGTCTATTTGGCATCTGATAGGAAACGTCCTATAGATGTATTGCAGATGAGCAAACACTCTAAAAAAATACATCTTGCAGACGTAATGCAGAGGTCTCTGTGATGTATGTGTGCTATTGATAAGTGTTAAGACAAAACATTTATGAAGTAATGTTTATGGAATGCTCTTATTACTTTATTAATATTTGATACATTTTCATAACACTGAGAAAACGTTCTTAGAACAACATTCATTGAACAACGTCTTCATGGTGTTATTTTTACTTGATGAATGTTCTGAGGTCAGCATTCTCGGAACATCCTTGAGATGTTATTCGTACTTTTTACATTCGTACAACATTTTTGTAACATTCTAATCACAAAAAAGGACATTTTAACGTTCTTGGAATATAAAAAAAAACAATAAATATTAAAAACATTAAATATTAAAAAAAAACATTCACATGATGATATATTTTGGGTGATAAAGTTAGTAGAATGTTGTCAGAAACGTTTTTGTAACCTTAAAATAACGTTATAACCACAACAAGAAAACTGGACATTGTAGCATTCTTAGAATACTAAAAAAAAACAAAAAAACATTCAATATTAAAAAATATTTAATATTAAAAACATTAAAAAAAACATTCACATGTTATATTTTAGGTGATAACGTTAGAATGTTGTAAAAAAAAAAAATTTAACATTTAAATAACGTTACAATCCAAAAGCTCATGGACGTAATTGTAATATAAGTCAGACACTGAAGTGAGTTGCTATATTTGTCACTCTTCTGAGGAAGGTTCATTCACTTGTTTGACAGTGAGAGACATTTTGGTCCGATTTTTTTAATGTTCATCCGATCTCATTTTAAAAATGAATTTTCTTTCTGTTTTAAAGATGTTTTCTTTGGATTGTTTCACTACTCAAAAGAGAATATAGAAAATATAACTTAATTTGTGTTTCCTGCAAGCTAAATTTAACATAGGCCTACATAAACAAAAATCCGGCTATAAACCTCTTTTTTTTTTTTTTTTATTCAAAGATCTAGACAAGTACATGGAAACTAACCAAAGTTCTGTTAATCCTAAAGCAGTCAAAACTGCATCTCTATATTCATACACTTTTAACTATAATGGGTAATTTTGTGTGTAAAGTTTCTTTTTCTTTTTATAACTGTACTGCCTTAATGGTTTGATATTTTCTACTATTTAATATGTATGTGTGTGTATATATATATATATATATATATATATATGCATAAACACATTTCTTTAAACCAAATACTTTTTAGCAACATCATATGACCCCTTTAATAAAATGATTCGCGATATGCGATTTGAAGTCAAATGATGCGCTGTACTTGATCCGATTGGAGCGCTTCGAAACAGTGAATAATTTTGCGAAGCGATGTTTTAACTAATTCGTTTCACCCATCACTATACGTGCTTTTTAAAATCATTACAAGCGATGTTGAAATTCGAAAATCAATGGCTCTTTTGATCCGGTTTTTGCTAGTGAATCGCTTGAACTGAATCATCGAAGTCACGAATTTGAATCAATCGGAGCGGTTTCAGTGTAAATGACTCACTCGATTGAATCGGTTCAACTGTCAGCACTACTACTGGCTCAGCTCGCTAGTTTTATGAGACTAACTGAAGCTGAACTGTGTTCGTATGTTTGAAACACTTCTGCTCGCTTATATGTTCTTACTCCACACATCTATTAAATGTGCACAGTTTTCTAGCGTATTCACTTTAACTTCTCAGGTGACTGACTGCAGATGTGGCCGAAATGGAAAGAAATACTATGGAAGTCAATGGCTACCGTAAACTGTTCATTTATTCAGGTTCATTTTTGGGTGAATCTTTGCTTTAAATCAACCAGACACTGGTGGAATTATGCATTTTCAGGTTGGAAAATTGGTTTTCCATTGCACTTTTCCAAGCAACAACTTGGACATGACAGTTTTCTGAATTGAATGGGACATACATAACTCTTAACTTCCATTCAAATCAAAAGAGAATAGAAATATTGTTCAAATCCCGGTCCTATCTCTAAAATATGATGGGTTGAATCAGATCTAATCTTATTCGATTACATTTTGCTTATATGTTCTTACTCCACACATCTATTAAATGTGCGCAGTTTTCCATTGCACTTTTCCAAGCAACAACTTGGACATGACAGTTTTCTGAATTGAATGGGACATACATAACTCTTAACTTCCATTCAAATCAAAAGAGAATAGAAATATTGTTCAAATCCCGGTCCTATCTCTAAAATATGATGGGTTGAATCAGATCTAATCTTATTCGATTACATTTTGGCATAAACTCTTAAAAATGGAGGTTGTTTTTACCGCAGTCAGAAGTGAAAATAACACGAGCAGAACACAACACAATGAATGCTGGCAATACTTTATGCAACTGTTTTGCTAGATGTTACAAACACTGCACATTCTTCCCCTCGTCTGTGTTAAAAACAGAACGGACCTGTCTACTAGCGTTGTGCTGTGGTGTACATTCTGTAGACTACAGATAAGTGTGCACATAGACAGCATTTATGATGCTAATCATCAGATTGAATCACTTCTGTCCTCTCTTTGGATTTTTTCAAAGCTTTCTCCAGTTCTTCCATCACAGGCAGAGGTCCCTCGTATTTGTTGGTTTCAATAGACCGAAGTTTGTCCTGATAGTCCTCCGGAAGCCCGTTCTGCTCCGCGCCCATCACAATAACCTGAGACACAGAAGGTACTTCATTTCTGCTGGCATCTTTTAGATATTTCTATCATTTGAGCTCTAGAGGACACACCTTCCGCAGGAATCTAGTCTTGCGTTGACAGACTTTTGAGCGTCATCATAAAATGCAGTTTATTCTGGCCAAGAACAGGAAGATTCGTCATGAGACGTGAACAATGTGGTGTTTTTGTGCAGATTATTTTTTACGGTTGTAGATTTTTAGCTAAAAATGAGCTTTTCTTCCTCTTCTGTAAATGCAAAATGACATATGCATTTTTCATTTACAGAAGAGGAATAAAAAGCAAGTGCAAATTAAATGTAGATTTTAGGTTAAAATGTAAATGAATGCATTCAGGATAATCGTGGGTCCTGACACCATTTCTTTCAACTTTTTCACAGAAACTCTGGATTATAAAGTCTTAATTCGCCTTTCCACAAATGAAGGCCTGAAAAGGTCTTAAACCAGAGCAGAATTTCTTAAATTCATAAAGTTGTGGCATTAAATGTTGCATGCACTGCAAAAAAAACCTCAGTGTTTTTATCTTGTTTTCCAGTTCAAATATCTAAACATCTTTAAACCAAGACACATAATACTGGAGATGGAAAATTAATATATAAATTCTTGTTTTTTTGAGAAACTGAACAAAATTAAATGAGTTTATGCTTAAAAGAAGAACAAATATCTACCAATGGGGAATGAAAACCTGTTTTCTCAATGAAATATGATTTTTATTTTTCATTTTAATACATTTCTTAAATTTTTAGACATTTGCTCTGAAAAACGAGACAAAAATACTGAGGGAGAGCATCATTTATGAGTCATAAATTTGCAGAAACCCTGTAATCAGCATAATTTTTCGTGAAAACGTGCTCCTGCAGTGTCAAACTAAATTTGACATGTTTTACAGTACTAATT